AGTTTCAAAAATATATATGTTATCAGCTTGCCTTCCCCGAGAAGGCAAATTCATTTTAATGCCCTTCTTTCTGACATAGAGCTTTTTATGGATCCCAGCCTAACACCATCTAGTTTTTCTTGATATTATATAGCAGCAGGACACAGGATGGAGCTGTGATATCCCAGCTCCTAGGTATCCCAGTTCAGGAATTGCCAAATTCCAGTTTTAAATGTGCTGTACTCCCACTCTCTCTGTTTGAGTCCAAGTTTACTCTTTTGTCAGGAAAATTTCTCTGAGAAATTTGACAGCTTCCTGAGTTTCCTTTGGCATTGTCTTTTCAGTTGATCCCAAGCCTAGACATGTTCCCACTAGCTTCCAATTAGTTACCCTCAGTAGCCACCAACCTTATTTCTTAAAATCCTATGTATTCCCTGGGTTTATTTATCTGGACTGAGGCATCTGAAATTTTCTAGGTGCACATATCAGTGATTTTTTTCTAGGTGTACATATTAATGAGTTTTTTCTAGTTGTTTTCAAGGAAGAGGGTTGATGTCAGTTTCTTCATTCACCATTTTTTTATTATTTCATCTTGAAAATAGTTACTTAGCTATTTGGATTGAATTGTAGTCAAATAAGCCATGTACATTTTTAAAATGTTTTAATGTAATGAATATTTTTTATATTTTAAATAAGAATATGATGAGGTAGGGGAGATCCTATATTTTTTAACCATATATGTGTTGTAAATCAATGGTACCTTAATTTAAAAAATTACAAGAAACTTCTTACCCCCCACACCTCTTGCCTACACCCCAGAACTTTTATGCATAAGTGAAATAACTAAGTCTTAAAAAAAAAACTAGTCATCAAAGCAGCATATTATCTGAATAAACACAGACATGAGGGCTAATAGTACAGAATTGCAATCTGGAGCAAAGCCCCCACACATATACATATATACAACATTTTATGACAACGTGGTCAAGAGCATATAGTGGAACAAAGAAAATCTCTTCAACAAATGGTTTTGAAAAATTGAACAGTGGCACATGCAAAAAACTTAAAGGAAGACAACTATTTCACACCACATACCAATATTTATTCTAAGTGAATTTGACTTGTGTGAAAGACCAGAAATCACAAAATACACAGAAGAACACTTAGTTGGTAAGCTCTTTGAAATCAGCCTTAGTGATGTCTTTGTGGATTTATCTCCAGTTGTGAGGAAATCAAAATAAATAAATGATAAATGGAACCACATCAAATTAAAATTACATTATGTAGTGAAAATGTCCATCATAAAATAAAATAAACAAGCTATGAAGTGGGGAAAAATTTGCATATCCTACCACTAATGAAAGGTTAATATATTTTTCTTTCCTTTACTCTTCACTTCTTTCTTTCTTTTCACATATCAGTGCATTTTTCTATTTTTTTATACATCTGTTGAATGTTTCTGACACTGAACTTAAGTTCTATAAAACAAAAATTATATTTTGTTCACTACTGTATCACAAGTCCCTGAAACACCACTTAATTTTTAAGAGGTTGCCAGTGCATATTCACTAAATGATTAATCATACAAATGTTATCTCACTATCAGATTTAAAATTTATATAGCATCCTAAAATTTCCATAAATCTGTGTTCAGTTGATGTATCTGAAAAAAATGAACCCCATCATTCTATATTTTTAACACTTAAAATGTTTCAGTTCTTTGGTGAATGTCCTTTTTTGCATAAAAATGGGATATACCAATAATTATTTCCTCAAAATAATCCCAAGAAGTAGAGCTTGGGGTTTAAATGGCATGTATATTTAAAGCATTCTGTCAGCCTACCCATAGAACCATTAGTAACAATTTATAAATCTACCACAAGTTATGAGACTCACACTTTTTTATAATATTAAAGTTTTACTTATTTTTAAATTATCAGTATATTTGTTTTCTCTAAATATAAAAAAAAACAATATCAGAGTTTAATCAGAGTTTAATCAGTTTTCCAATTAAAATTTTCCTTTATGTAACTGATCAATCATTTATATAATTTACATATACATGAATTTAAACATTGCACAATAAAAGGAAGCTTCTTTATGATGTGGTACACCATATTGAATAACTTATTCATTAAATTATCCTAATGTACTTTTACATTTCATATACTATTTCTTTTTTAGATTTATTTATTTATTCATTTAGAACTGGGGTACAGGCCAGAGATGCGGAGGGTGAGAGGATTCACCAGAGACAGAGTTGGGTACAGAACAGGCAGATCAACGAAGTACACTGCTTAGAGGAGCAGAGGGCAGGGCAGGAGAGGTCTGCTGCCCTGTGTGGATCTCCTCCGGGGCAGGCGGGAATCCAACTCATGCGGAAGTGGCTTAAGCTTCGTAGTGCAGTGATTTAACCCGCTGCGCCACCAGGGAGGGCTCATCATATACTATTTAATGGGATATAATGGTATACTTACAATCAATATACTATTTTCTTTTTAATTTATAAAAATGGAAATGAGGCCCTCCCTGGTGGCGCAGCGGGTTAAAGCACTGCACTGAGAAGCTAAAGCCACTTCCGCATGAGTTCAATTCCCACCTGCCCGAGAGGAGATCGACCACATGGCATGGCAGACCTCTCCTGACCGCCCGCTGCTCCCCTCAGCAGTGTACTTCATCGATCTGCCTGTTCTGCTCCCCACTCTGTCTCTGGTGAAGCCTCTCACCGCCCCTGAGCCTCTGGCCTGTACCCCAGTTCTGTATGTACAAATAAATAAATCTTTAAAAAAAATGGAAATGAGTTTCATCATTCTTAAATATATGCAAAAATCTTAATTTATGAATAAAACTAAACCACTCTCCATATGTTAATAAAAATTGGAAAACAATATAAAAGCCTATAAAGTGTTCTTTACTTAATGAATGCCTATAAGATGTTTATTGACTGAATGTTGTATGTTTGTGAGTTCCTTAGTATCTTTAGTTTCGTTAATTCATATCAGTCAAATACATAATTGATATCATTTGACAGCCTTGGTTCTTAACATTTTCTTCTATAAATACAAGATATATTGTAATCATTTTTTAAAAAAATATGCTTCCTCATTTATTTTTTTTTATTTTAGAGATGTATTTATGCATACAAGCCAGAGGTGCAGGGGCGGTGAAAAGATTCACCAGAGACAGAGTGGGAGCAGAACAGGCAATTAGTTGAAGTACACTGCTGAGGGGAGCAATGAGCAAGGCAGGCGAGGTCTCTTGTGCCATGTGGACCACCTCCCAGGGCTGGTGATTGAACTGCACTGAAGTGGCTGTGACTAGTTGACAATGTTGTGCTTTAACCCACTGCGCCAGAAGGGAGGGGCTATTCTTACTATTTTTATGAAGATTTATCAAACAGTTTAGTTTTGCTTAGGGTAATATATTTGCAATATTTTACCTATTCTTTATCTTCTTTTATTGTATGGAATTCCATACTTGATGACTTTTCTTAATTACCAGGAGAAATTGATGTGTTATTTTTGCATCAGGAATGTTTTCAAGGGCCTCCATTGGCACTAGCAAGTTATTACACTATCAGTTCAACCCCCAGCCAGTGAGTTAACCCATTTGGTGCAGCAGACCTCTTCTGTCTAACTTGCTGCTCCCCTCAACAGTATATTTCAGTCAGTCTATCTGTTCTGCTCCCCACTGTGTCTCTGGTGAAACTTCTCAAACACCCCCCTACCCCACCATGTACACCCCACCTGTACCGCAGTTCTTGCATGCATAAGTAAATAAAAATTAATCTTCTAAAAAAAGAATGTTGCTAAACTTTAAAAATTAAAATTATTTTTTTTTATTTTTCCACATTAAATTTTTGTTTTATATAGCTGATTTCTTGATACTTGAGAAAATTTAAAACAATTCCATGAGTTTGTCATGATATTCAATATATGCACTACTAGTCTCCCAAAAGAGTGGAAAGTGAATATTTCCTCTAACAGTAATAAAATACAATTGGTGGGATTTCCTTATAGAAAATGACATTATTAGCTTTTGTAAGAAGGTTTATTTCGGGCCCTCCCTGGTGGCACAGTGGGTTTAAAGCACAGCACTAAGAATCTAAAGCCACTTCAACATGAGTTTGTTGCCTGTCCCAGAGGTGATCCACAAGGTGTGGCAGACTTCTCCTGACCCACCCACTGCTCCCCTCAGTGGGTATACTTGTCCATCTGCCTGTTCTGCTCCCCACTCTGTCTCTGGTGAATCATCTGCTTGCCTCTGTACCTCTGGCCTGTACCACAGTTCTGTATTTATAAATAAATAAATCTTTAAAAAAATGTTTTATTTCATTTGTGTATGCACTTAAGAACTAGGGTGTGGTCAGAGGTAGAGGGAGGGGTAGTGGAAGGATTCACCAGAGAATAGGGAGCAGAACTGGCAGCCTGACTGAATTACACTGCTGAGGGGAGCAGTGGGTGAGCATGAGGATTGATGATGCCACAGAAGCTAGTGATATCTTGATAGTGCTGAGACTTAACCCTGAGCTACACAGGAGGCCCAAGATGACATTAGCTTTAGAAAAATGGGTAAAGAAGACATTTATAAATCTGAGAGACAAAAATCCAAGCAAATCTTCTAGTTTTTTGGGAGAAAAGTTTAAATCTTTCATTTATTTATTTCTTTTAAGTCATAAACACTTAAAGGAGACATAAAAGTAGGTCCTCTCTGGTGGTGCAAGGGTTTAAGTCTCAGCACTAAGAAGCTATCTGTGGTCACTGCAGCATGAGCTTAATCCCCAGACAGGTTGGTAATCCACATACTGCAGCATACCTCACCTGTTTTCTGCTGCTACTCTCAGCAGTGTATTTTAGATCTGCCTGTTCTGCTCCCCACTCTCTCTGATGAATCTTCTCACTCTCCCCACCTCTGGCCTGAACCCCACCTTTGTATGACAAAAGATATAAATTTCTATTGACTATTTATTTGAGAAATCTTAGCTTTATTCTTATTATGTTAATAGAAATGACTTTACTTACCTGGCCCTTCAGTCACTTTGCCTAGACACCGAGGAGTTGTGCTAAGAAAGGAAGAATGTCTTATTCTAGCCGCAAAATTACGGGGTGGCATATAGTTTTGTTTCACCTGAGACATCTCATATGACTTTTGAACATCATAGCTGCCTGGTGCTGGAATTTCCTGTGAAAGATTTCAAGGGATAAACATTACATGTTTTTTATAGAAAATTTCAAAAAGAAGATAGCTAAAGTATAGATGTTTATATTAAGAAATTTCTTAAAAAATTGTGAAACTTTTCTTCGATTAGTAATTAAAAATAAGAATTTAAAAGTATCCCTAGATTAATTTTGTCTGATAGAAGTGCAAATTCATTTGTTAAAATGTAAAATAAAAAATATATGAATTTTTAGTCCATTTTCCTTTAAAATAGCTTTCAAAATAACTCAAACTTTCCTTTTCATATTTAATATACAAATAAAATTCCATGAAACAATGACTGCAATAATTATTTGTTTCCATAAACAGCAAAATTATCCTTGATTTACTGTTCTAATAAGAACATATTTATTCTACAAATGAGATTTCATATTTCATTTATAACATACTCCAATTAAATTAAAACACTTAACTTTTCATTATTTTGTGGCTTTTTACAAGTCTTTAGTTATATTAACATTTTTTTTTTATAATTTAAAAGGTCAGGTTTATTAGGAAAAGGAAAAAGAAAAATCCTAGGGACAATTGCATACTCATAGGTGGGCAGGAGAGCAGACAACGCTTGTTTTGCAAATAGGAAAGGTTTGTGAAAAGAAACATCTACATATTATCACATGCAGGAAGTATGTTAACATTTTTAATCAACATAAACCACACGGTTATTAAATTTCTATGTTGATAGTTTTAAAATAAATATACAGCAGAATTTTTAACAATAGAACTTGTAAACAACTAGTTGATTATTTCAGTAAAAATTTGTCAAATGTTTAAAATACATATCCTAACTGCTCATCTGTATTATGTATAAATTACAAACTTTTTAAAGTTGTAATGATTTTATATAGGCAAGAGTCTACTGCAACTAAATTGTAAACTCTAACAATTGACTTCTTGGGTTCCAAATATCTGCTCCTCCCTGGTTGTGGGACACTAGACAAGCCAATTCTATGATTATCAGAATCCTCATCTCTAGCTGACAAATATAATGCCACATATCACAGGGTTGATGTGAGGATTAAAGAGTTAAGAAAGTAAAATACTTGGTATTTTATTAAGATTGGTATCTTATTATGTAAAAGTGTAAAAATATGAGCTAATCTTATTTTTATTAAAATCTAATTTCAAAGCAAAAAAACCCAATATTGAACAAGAGTTCATACTAGATAATAAGGGAGTACTGCCAATATTCCATATATGTCATACATTTATTTTTTTAAGATTTTTTTTTTAATTTATGCATATAAGAACTGGGATGTAGACCAGAGAGGCAGCGGTTGAGAGGATTCACCAGAGATGGAGTGGGGAGCAGTAGAAGCAGATTGACTGGAATACATTGCTAAGCGGAGCAGAGGAGAGACAAGAGAGGTCTTCTGGGTCATGTAGGTCATCTCACTGGCTCTCAGATAGCTTCATAGTGCTAACTTAAACCCCTTTGCCAATTGGGAGTCCTCTTTGAAATAGCACACTTTGAAATCCCTTTAGTATCATGGTTTATAAAACATATGTTGACTTGTTTCTAATATCCATATTTTCACCTTAAGCACATGCTAACACAATTATATTTCACAGAAGCACTTACTATAATATGAGTACAGGTAATGACTACTACACGTGGATCTTAAGTGAAACCCCACATTTCTCTACCAAGTCCTCTGTCATATATTAAATGTCACAATCAGTAGCACATGTTAACAGCTATTTTCATTTTGTCCAGAACAAGAATATATTTATTAAGAAAAAGGCTAGAATAAGCAAAATTAGCGGTAGCTCCAAAGATGATTTTTCTATCATTTAGGGCTGTTTCTGTGGTGTGTGAAATGTAAATGAAAGATAATCAAAAGGACAGGAGAGGTGTGTTGTGCCATGTGGATCACCTCCAGGGCCAAGAATCAAATTTGCAGTGAAGTGGCTGTTAGCTTGCAGTGCTGCATCCTAACCCACTGCGCCACCAGGGACGGCCTACATGGGTTTTCATGAGGATAAATCTTTAACTATTGCTCTTGTACTTGTTGGAATAGTTGAGGAATTGGTAGGGCAAAGGAAAATAGGTGTAAAAGAAGACTAGAACACAGCAACCAAGGGGCAACTCCCATAGATGCAGGAGTTTAAAATTTCTGATGTAATACATTTCTTTGTGGAGGATGGCAAGTGTTTTATCACAGCCTGGCATATGGGTTAGAAGGTATATTGGTATAGCTTTGCCTGGGGTGGGTATAGTTGGTATTTCAGATATCTCAATGTGGATTTTCAATACTTTTTTTTTTTTCTGTACAGAAATCTGTATGCTCAGACATTGTACTTCTACAGTTATTCTGCCTAATTAACCTCAAATTCAAGCCAGTAGTCCTTGTTCTGTGTCTTTATCCATGTAACTTTCCCAACAACCATGTTCCATCCTGGGTACTTGTTTATCACCTCTTTATCCAGTACAGAGCCTTATTTTAGGAACCCCAATGTTGGCTTATAGGGGGCTTTGTAGCACATCTAGTACTACTTCTTGTGGGTACAATAATATTGCATGACTATTAGTTTACAAGTTCACTTGAAGGATTTCCTATCCATTTCAGCCCAGCTATTGCTCCTCAACAAGGATTATTTCCTCAGGGATTCTTTAATTTTGTTTTGCATCAGTTTTGTAGTTCATATGTGCAGGGGCACCAGATTTACATTCTCAATATTTTAGTTTCTTTAGATAAGTTTTGTTAATACCTGTACTTGCTGCAGGTCTTTATTTTAGTTATGATAGAAGGGTTTGATAGATGCCAACACAAAAACCTTTTTAATATGTTGTTGCAAAAGTAAGAATCTCCATCAATGATTACTTTTCTCCAATAAGGAATGTTCATCAAACTAGTTAACTTAAATTTAAATAGGTTCACTGACTCATTTTCCAAGTGAAAATACACTATTTCATGTTGCATATTTATTATTCTCTGAAATTTTATTGCCAGCTTGTGTTCTCAATTGATATTTATACATTCTTCTTACTATTTTTTTTTATTACAAAGTTTATTTTTACATCATTTTGCCCATTTTTTTTGCCATCTCGATTGTAATCCCCGCGGGTTTCCCATCACCAGATCACCCCTGTGCCACCACCCTAGTCCCATGCATTTCCCTCCCTTCCCCCCCACCCCGTTTTTGATCCCATTCCCCACTCCGCCCCCACAGAATGTCTCTGGTATATGGTTGTTCATTATTTTTGTTATTTTCTCG